ATTTTTTTTCTACAGTATAAAGTTCAACAGAATATAGATGCATTTAAATAATCACAAATTGTGTTTCACAAGATTGTAAGATAACTTAATGCATGCTAAAACTTAAGAAAAATTTGAAATTACATGTCAAATATTTTTGACGTCAGCTTTACATTAGAGAGGTTTAGCAAACCACGTTTACGCGTACGTGTACGTGTAGCACCAGAAAGCTGTGCATTACGTCATCACTTTTGCAAATGACGAATTTCTACACGTATCCTCTTACGCAGGTTACGTGTAGATTGCCAAGTTCACGTTAGTTAAAACTTGTAGCTTATAAATCTTAAAATTATGTTTATTTTTCAATAATTGTGCGTTTTTATAAAACCTGAATATTTACTATAAAAAATATATAAACCATGCAAAATTCAAAAAAATGTCCAAATGGAAGGTTGCAACTTGGGAGTTTTTAGTGACTTAAAATTTTCTACATTAAGGTAGATGTCAGAATATCCACAAAAAATGTCGAACCCTGCATCTATTTTTAGTAACAGCTCATTTGCATATTTGTCGAAAATCACTCAAAATTTAATAGAAAATCTATACAAATTGATCAAGTCAAAAAGTGACCTTTTGTCATCAGTTTATTTTCAAATTTTGTTTTATTTTCAAAGTCATGGTCCATTTTACACAATTAATGAGAAAAAAACTTAATTCAAATGAATATTTTATTTTTTACACATCTATTTATAGATCCTATATCAATGAGTATGATTTGTTAGCCATTTTCAGATGATCGTTTCTCTCAAGACCAAGGTTGAAATTAAATTAAATGTTACTTTAAGAATGATCTAACACTATTTTGTATTAAAATATTGAGCTTTGGAAATAATATCTACATGTTGTAAATTATTTTTGAAATACCATACTTTGCTACAATTTCACATATTTTAAATAATTATAACAGTCTATTACCATATTTATGGATTATTTCTATGATATTTAAATAAAAAAGAGAAGATTTTTAATCTAATATATTTTTTAGAATACGAATAACTGATTTGGATACTTCATATTACTTTCTATTGCTTATTTTAGCCCCTTTTTACCAATTTGCTGGAGTTCCATTGTTATCTCCCCTTGTTGGAACTCTTTAGTATTCTTGGGTAAAAAGTGACAGGTATGTCAATATGGAAAGAAGTAAGTCATGTATGATCATTTTTTCTTCACCGAGGGAGTTTTTGTGGAGCATTATTGCACTATGAAAGAGGGAAAACTTATTTTAAGATATTTTAATGGAAGAACGAAACAACAAATTAGCTTGAATAAACAAATATCTCAGTGTGGGGAAGGGGGACAACCTACATTATCAACTACCAAGAATTCCATAGAAAGTAAGAAATAAAAGGTCATCAGATGTTTTTTTTATTTAAGGAACAAGCATATACATGTAGTAGCTATGTTTTCTTTAAAGTTATCTACATGTATTTTGTGATAATTAGCAGTTACAAAATTTTTCCTTACAAGTACAATTGAATAGGAAATTAAATCAAATGATAATAGATGGTTTTTATCAAAATAATATGCATTTGATATTTTGTTTAAGGCACCTGGCCTCGTTCAAGTTCAAGATCATTTTATTCACTCAAACCATTTCAGGTACATAAGGACAATGAAGAATATTTACAACATATAAATTCAGGTCAAGGACGCCAGTATATGATATACATAATCAGAATGTGAAAAGGAAGAGAAAAAAGAGAAAAAAACACATATGAAACATGTAATAATGAAATAAGCGAGGGGAAAAATCATGGAGGACTGAAAACTAAAATCATTTTCAATATAAATGTACGTAGTTTTCTGAGTGTCTTAGAAACTTGTTTTGTCATCAGTTCAGAAAATATAAGAATGCATACAGGTATTTGATTGCATACTCTCAACAATTCAAAAATAATTGGTTATTTCAATCTACATGTAAATTGTGTACGTTTCATAAATTTAGTGTGTTTTTGAGTTAACCAGTCCAAACACCGACATTCCATGGAATATTTTTAATTTTACATTACATACTTTAAACTACTGACTGTTACTTATCATTCATATACTGCTAAAGTCAGATCTCCAATTAAAAAATCATCAGCTCAAAAGGAGATGCCACCGATTTAGGTACTCCACTGATATAGGACCATCCACGATATATATTGGCAAAATTATTCAAGGGAGGGTACTACCCCCCCTCCACCCCCAAATAAAAAAAAGAAAACATGAGTTGTTACTGCAGCCAAAATGTATGCTAGTTTGCAGTACAAAGTGGTAACAATTTAAAACTGGCTTGAATTTAACATCTATAAACATGATATAAGGCTGGATTCATATACATTCAAATGAGGGGGGGGGGGGATGTGCTATCAAATTTTGTCAAAATTATTTTCGTAACATTATTAATAAAATTGTATTAGGCTTTGTAAATTAATATTTGATACTTTTTCTTAATAACGATAATGGTATTATTAATACAATTGCAGACAGATTTTTATTTGAAGAAAATTGTTTTTATAAATGTTATATGTATCCACTGAAAACAGTTGGGGGAGGGGGCGTGTCAGTCGAGAAAAGATTAAAAAAAAATCATTTTTAGGTCAGGATATTAAATATACGAGTGAACAATTTACATACTGTCTAGTATTTAAATGGATAAAATAATGAAAAATGATAGGGGTTCTTGAGGGGTGTTGATAAAACGAGGAACGGAAAACGTATTATTATATTTTTTATTTTAGATTAAATCACTTAAAATACACAAATTTATAAACAATATATATTTTATAAATTCAACCCCCCCCATTATTTAATATAAGTTGATATATTCATGTTCATAAAATCTCTTATTCACGAAAATCGCAGTCATAGCAGTTACATAGAAACAATTCTGAAAGGGTCGAGATGGGAGGGGGGTGTAAAGCTGAAAAGAATTTGCCAAGCGAAAAAAGATGACAATTGTTTGATTCGGGAGGTGGGATAAGACTAAACTCCAGCATCTTTCATTTTCTTTAACTCCTTTATGCAGTATTTTGTAAAACATCTCCTGTCAGTATTTTTACAAGATTGTAAAATTGACAGAAAGCAAACAACTTACTGAAGGCTCAAATCTTATATGTTCAAGTCTCAAAATTCATATGAATGATACTGAAATCGAGTCCGTTTAAATTTAAATACCTGTATTTTCCCTTTTATTAATTAAATAGAAACTAATTTACAAAATGTTAAGGTTTCGTCAAAGGTCAACATGTCCAAAATTTTATTTTTACAATAGCCACAAAACCATGTGGGGTATAAAGTTAAAACTTTTACAGTTTATAAATATTTCATTTATTAATAGATAGAAAGTATCACTTGAAAAAAAAATACTTGGAAAAAATATTAATTGAGAAAAATTCTTCTTAAAAATGCATATATTTTCAAAAAATACACCTAATTAATTCTGCACTCTAAGTAAAAACCATTATTGCAGAAACAAAATATGTTTATCAATGAAGGGCAAGTTGGACTTGGAGAGCCTCTAGAAAGTTGTTTTCCCTGTTTATTTTGTCCAAATGTTAAGACTTGAAAGTGAAAGTACATTGCAAATGGCGAATTTTATAGGGTCTTGTCTATATACATGTCATGCTTTCAATAACAACCTTTCAGAGACCATTCACGCCCAACTTGCCCTTCAATGATAAACATATATTATTTCTGCAACGATAGTTGTCACAAAAAAGGCAGAATTAAGCAGGTGCGTTTTTTTAATATGCACATTTTCTGATACGATTTCTCTCAAAAAATATCTTTTTAAAAATATTTGTTATCAAGCGATACTTTCTATCTATTAATCAGTGATATATTTATAAACTGTAAACGTTTTGACTTTATACCACACATAGTTTTGGAGCTATTGTAAAAATAATTTTTTAGTCATATCGACCTTTGACGAAACCTTAAGAACATGAATATTCATATGATTGTTGAAAAATTGCAAGTAAGCCAATACAATGCTGTTTTTTTTTTTCATTTCTAAACAATTGGCAAAATGCCAATCCTCATACTAGGGATCCTTTCTGTCAATTTAGTTTAATTTCTTTTTTTTCAATCTTAATTTTTATTTCAAAGAAAATTGTTACATGTTTGAACATTGAACAACAATTGTTTTAATTCAAAGTACTATATTTGACTTTGTAACCCATTTGAGTTTAAACATTTTTTTTTCGAAAATTGGCAATTTGTAAATCCCCATATCTCAATTATTTATTATTTCCCAAGCTCAACATTTTGCAAAGATAATGTTTAGAGTTATATTTGTACAATAAAATCAAAATAATTAATTTTAAAGATTGGTCTTGGAAGATTTGGGGCATTAAATTGGTAATACTTTTGGCAATTCTTGAAAATTGGCATCATGCCAATTTTCAAGAGTTGTCTGCCCTTTGATATATTGCATATTTGATGATAATAAATATCAATTTTAAAAGAACATAGTCTTATGTTACTTTAAAAAACCTTAATGGAAATGCAAGTTTAATTTTGAGCATTAAATAAATCAAATGTGAATTATACCATTTTCCTTCAATTTTTTAAGTGCATTTGTACTTAAATGTGCAAAAAGGAGGTGGCGCTGCCTACGGCTGCCATGTTGGATGATGGGATTTTTTTTGGGGGTCATTTTTGAATAACATATTATAAAGTCAAACTACGCACCAAATTTCATTAAGATATGACAACCTTCGATTTGGACATTTCTGCATGGTTTTCTCGCGGACTGACACTTAATATCCCTCAAAATAAATAATAGAAATGTAGAAAACAAAAGTTAACTCCATAAGACATTAAAAATTAGTTCATGCCGTTTTGCATAATAATTGATGGTAATATTTTACTTTTATAACATTTCCTTGGAGAATAATTTATGAAATTGCTCAAATTTTCTATAAGGCAAGGTTTATATGCCAGTTCTATTTTCCTGATAAGAAACGTTAACTTACCAGTTTTTTTAACTTCGAAGGGATTAGAAATAGAGGTCCCAGCGTTATTGGAGGCCAAACATTGATAGGTTCCGTAATCAGAATTCCTCATTTTGTTGAAGCTCAATGTTCCTGTAGAATTATTTACTGACACAAATTCACTTGACTGAACAGTTATGTTGTCCTTTCTCCATTCATATCTAGGAAATATATTTGTGAATTTGTTGGTATATAAATAAGAAAATGTAATAATTATAATCAAAGAAATAAATTCTATCCATTTAACATTAAATAAAATTCTGAGTATAAACAGAATAAGGGTGACTCTAGTGAGTGTTGTGATACAAGGTTTCTATTGAGTTTACTTGGTCTTTCGAGAATTAGGGAAGAACTATCTTCTAATTTGGTGTTTGCGATCGTTAATGCTGATTTAACGGTCGCACATCGAGTTTTACCGGCAGCACGTAAGCATTAACGGTCGCAAATACCAAATTAGAAGATAGTTCTTCCAATTATAATGACATCTGTGCATTCTGCTTGTTGTTTACGTTTTATTTTGTTGAGATGAAAAGCTTTCTCTCTTGTTTTAAAATGCTCGTTTTACTGCTTTAGAGCTTCAGCAAAACAAAATGTGTTTTACCAAACAATTGCATTAGAATGTATTATTGATTTATTTTCCATCAATGGATAAATATATGAAAGGAGTACAAAATGTATTTATATGTATGACGGTAGAAAAAAAAAGAAAAAAAAGCTTTTAAATGGGTATGCCTTTTATGTTAACTTTTGTATCTAACTTAAAATTGAGATGTAATTAACATTACTGGTTTAAGACATTTAGTCTCATACTCCTACTTTAAGATAGAAATTGTTTTTCATGAATTGTTCAATTTTAGAAATAAAATATATTTATAATTCTTGCAATAAATAAAGCCTCGACATTACTCCAGAAAAGGAAAGTAAAAGGATATTTTGTTGAAATACAAAAAAAAACCACTTTACAATCTTTAAAACTTATATCGATTGAATAGTCTGAACATGAAATATAACATATACTTACTGAATCTGTCCATGTCTTGCCTTGCATGTAATCTTAGTATCAGCTAAAACAGTTGATACAGGGAGATGATATTCATTTTTAAATATACTAGTTATCTTAGGTGGGATTGCATCATCTAGATAAAAAAGCAATTATAGAATTAGTGAATGTCATCGATGCAGTAGCTTTATATGATTAATTAATTAAACCAAGATAAAGATAATAATTATCACTTTATTTACCTTGACAAATTACTTTACCAACAGATGGAAAAAGCAGAAAAAAGATTAATGTCCATTCCATCACGCTTGTGCTTCTTTAATAAAAGTCACTTGTCACATGGATTTGAAAGTGTTTATTTGCAATTTTTACTCTCCTATGCTAGAGTTGCATCTCTCCGTCTTTTAAAGAAAAATCGCTCATCAATTTTTTTGCAAACCGAATTCAGATTTGTTACACTAGTTATTAATTCATTGACTGTTCTTTTCGTTTGTTCTATTATGTGTCAAAGTTTTGTATTTATATACTTGTATATAATGATTGGGGTCGAAGATAATTTTCAAAATGGAACACATGATCAGAAAAATGCTTGATTTGGCAATACATATTTTGATCCTGATATGTAAAAGCTTTTTTTGAAATGATTTCTTCCTGATAGATTTCTGATATGTTTCCCTGTCATTTTTGTAACAGGTGGAGCTGTGCTTTGAATGATTAACATGTATAAAAAATAACTTCAGAATGATATTCTAATTGAATGTCCCAAAGTGTGTCTTAGTAAGCGGAATCTTAAATTTGTAATTAAATGGAATAACAGATAATCGTCATAACGGTGATTAAAGAAACTTGATTCGTGTTAAAAACTGTCATATTTTATTTTACATCTCTCTCTCTGAAGACAAAGCGTAAATGGTAAAATGATTTTTTGGTTGACAGTATTGAAATTAATGTTGCAGCAGTTGCAGAAAAAAACATATTGTATATTTTTGTTCATTAATTTGACCTGTAGAATAATCCTACAAAGTAGAATTCAGCAGAAAAACATTGTATGATTCACATTAATTGTTACTGTTTGACTCCGTATGTCGATAATGAAGGTATATTGCTGCATAAGTAAGGGAAGTTGACGATAGAAAAGTTATAGTCATCACATTTATCATAGACCTTGGTTGTTAGATTACCATTCGTGTCTTTTTCAAGTAAAATATCCAAGTATGAAACAGAAGTGCCGGACTCTGTGGTATCCTCAAGATCACCAGGATATATCGTATCGACGTAGGAATGGAAATTGCCATTATTAAATGACAATACGTCGTCTACATATCTAAATGTCGAGTTGAAGGTCACAGCAAGTGTTTTCTTCTTTTCACGCAAAAGATTTGCATAAATTCTGCTTCATATGAATATAAAAATAAGTCTGCTAAAAACAGAGCGCAATTTGTACCCATGGTAATTCCAATAGACTGTTGGAATACCTGGTCTCCAAAAACCACAAAGATGTTGTCAATCAGAAACTCAAGCATCTTCTTCATGTCAACTTCAGAATACTTATGTGTGCAATCAGAATCTGTTTTAACAAAATAATTTTGCAAATGACCAATGACGAGGTAAGTTAATTTACGAGTTCCATTTTTAATTTAAAGCATATTTTATTCATATAAAGAAATGGATTGAACAGCAGGCATAAATGCCTATGATCGTTCTCTCCATAGGTCAAGGTACAATTACAAGTACATGTAAACATTGGAAAATGTATGAAGAGTAGATTATAAATTGGTACATATTTGGAATTTATTCAGAGAGAGAGAGAGAGAGAAATGATAAGAAAAAAATATAATTTTACAAGTGGATAGGAAAAATAATAATTATATAATAAATAAAATATAATCAACAGAAAGGAAAAAAAAACAAAAAACAAAAAACAAATAAAGAAAAAACAAGAACATATGTTTGAGCAATTATTGTTGACCCAGAGTAGGAAGAATTCCCTAACAGCAGTTTACATATACATGTAGTAAAATAATACATTTCCCATAGAATATAATAAACTAAAATTTCAATGAAAACCTCTTAGAGGTTCTTATAAAGGTATGTACCTTATCAAAAAATGAAATAATTTTATCCAGACTTAGTGAGTCTACACCATATAATATGTTTTCTATATTAATTGGTATGTTATTTTCATTCATGTATTTAATCAGTAATTGTCGTTGTAAGGCAAATTGTTGACAATACAAGAAGGAATGCAGTGAGTTCTCATTTTGATATCCACAATTTGTACATATTGGTGATTCATTTAAGTGATCTTTAAAAAGATCAGCATTAAGGTTGCTACATTTATTCCTTAACTGACAGTGTATTATGTTTTCAATTCTATTACCATAATTGTAAAGTTTATATTTATTTTTCTGAATAGGAGTGGTAGAGTTTAATTTATTTTTAAAAGTTTGTAATGTAGGGGAGTTTTTACAATCATCTGATAGATTTTTTCCACAAGGATATTGTGGATGGTACAAAGCTGTTGTAGTATGACACTGTTCTAATGATTGGGATTCGATATGAATTAGGGTTGCGCAAATTATAATTAATATGCTGGATTGGCATACATCCTTCAAGCATATTATTCATGTAATCAGGGGTAAGATTATTAAGTATTTTAAACATCAATGTAAGCTTATGATTTTCCCTCCTTGAACTTAAAGTGTCCCACCCCAACTCTTTGTATAAATTACTTTTTGATGTATTACACCTAATGCCTGTAATTATTCTTGCAGCTTTCACCTGCACACTCTCCAATAATTTAGATTGTTCTTCAGTGCAATTATCCCATACCACATCCCCATATTCTACAACTGGTCGAACAAATGATAGGTATATTTTGATTAAGGAGTCTCTCTTTAATTTATATTTTAGTGTGCGCAGTATGTTTAGTCTTAGGCAAGCTTTTTCATAAATTGTTGCGATATGTTCTGACCAACCCCCATTAGACTGAAGTGTCAGTCCAAGGTGACAGTGACTTTGATTTAGGGAAATTATATTCATTGTGTTTCCAAATGTAATATTTGGATGTACTCGTTGAGTTCTAGTAAAATTGACATTAATAGTTTTATTAGGGTTGAATTCAACTAGCCATTGATGGGACCACTGCCTAATTTTTTCAAGGTCTGTAGTAAGAGATATTGCTGAGTTATCTATGTCAGTATCGACAATAACAAACAAAGATGTGTCATCTGCAAACAGTCGAATTTGATTTTGTATGCTTTCAGTAATATCATTAATATAAATAAGAAAAAGGAATGGTCCTAGAACCGACCCTTGCGGAACATTTTTATTGAAGAAACAACTGTCAATGATATAAAAAATCCTGGATTTTAATTTGTCGTGGGGAATTGATGTGTATAAAGTTGGAAAGTCGTGAGTCTTTAAGCTGTTGATTTTTGTAAAGTCTTGTGATTTAAAGTGTCCAAAAGTTCTTTAGAATTTTTTAGTATCCGCATCTGATTCACGCCACTTCTTGAATATATAGTTGCACAGTACTCTTGAATTTTGGAAGCTGGTAAGTGCAAATTATCGAAATTCGCATGAATTTTAACTTCAATTTTAAATTCAAAACGGAAACTTGTGCCTTGTTATGAATCGCCTTTAACGTTAATTAAAAAAAAAAATCATTTTTCTCCACCTTTTAAATTAAAATGGATAGAATTTATTTCATTTGATTATAATTATAACATTTTCTTATTTATATATCCACAATTTCACAAATATTTTTCCTAGATATGAACGGAGAAAGGACAACATAACTGTTTGTTCGTCATGATAAAGCTTTTTACAGAAGTTTAAATTTAGCCTACATGACCTTGTATATCTCTTAACAATGTTTCAAATGGTATATTTATTTGACTGAAAGTCAAAAAAAAAATAGTGTAAGGATAATTAAACATAGACAATTGCAGTTTATTTTGACAGAAACCTTGAAAAGCAGGCCCAAGAAAGCGATTTCAGTTTGGTGGGCACAACAACAGAAAGCCCATGACAGGTAGAAAAAGGCATCAAACACCTTGAGTCCACCATCCCAAATCATACTCGTCTGCATGGTACATGTAACCATATAATTATTATATCCAGTTCCAAGGAAGATTTTGCCCGCGAAAGAGTTGTTGAGCAGGCGTGCTTTAGTTGAACGTTTGAATGATACATAGTTATTACAAAAGTTAGTAAATACATTTTCTATATATCAGACCTACTGAATCTGAATAAGCTTCACATTAGTTATTTCTTTGTTGAGTTAGACTGACATGGGATTTTACAGTATGAGGCTGCGTAGTGGACCTCTGCGAAAAGTGCTGACTTTTATGATTGCCGGTTTACTTTTTTTTACTTTTATTTTAACTTATGGAGTTTCTTTTAAAATATAAACATTTACATAATTTTAAAGACTAATTATAGGTCAATCTAAAACACACTTGACATTGTTAACCTCCATCATATCACTTCAGCAACGCTTTGACTCATTAATGTAACTTTTACACGTAGATTAAAGGAAGTGGATAGTACAAAGGATAGAGCATCATGCCTGAACAGATAATTTTTCAACAAAGAAGGATACGATTGGCATATTGCAAAAGTGACGATAATACAGGAAAACAATAAAACAAGCGAATTTCTCATAAACAGGAAGAAATGACAAAAGACAGATATTTTTTACTGTGATCTACAAGGAAATCTGTAGACTCTATCTTTTATTTACAAACATAATTCGTAGTCATACAGGGCTCATTATCTCGATCATAAGCATGTATCGAAAAATTACAGCACAAGTAATTATGAATCAATTATACTGTTTATCTCGCTTAAAAAGTTGGAGGATTTATAATGACCGTGTTGTTCGTCTGTCTGTCCGTCTATCTCTTACACATTCGGCTTCCCATCTCATATCTGCAATTTCTTGTAAACCATTGAATGAAATTTAAGGACAAATGATACGAAAAAAATTTTTCTTTGAAAAAGATTTAATATTCTGTCACAAGTTTAGAAAGTGTATAGTTCTTGGAATTTTTTTCTCTGAAGAACTGGAAAATGATTTTTACCATTTAGCTTTTCCTAATAATATTTTTTATGTTACACAAGTAGACCATTCAAATAATATGAAATAGTTAGGCTTATGTTTATCTCTATATTCGAAATATTTCACTATAAATAAACAAAGAGGAAAATCGCTGATTATGATTATGTATGTAAAACAGCGTGGTAAAAGTACTTACGATTTAATTGCATTTATGACGATCTTCAAATAATTTTTATATTAGATAATTGTACGTAAAGTGCCAAATAATTTTTTTTAACTATGTGGCAAATTGACATTTTTGTATTTTT